CATGTAATGAACCAAACACAGTGGCTCCACTCACCTTTTTCCATTTTTGGAAATGGTTGCTTATATATACACTTACTTCAATATATGAATAACCATTCTAAAGTTCAGAATGTCCCTCTAGTGGCTTTCTCAGCCACTTTTAATTCTTAGGATGCCATCTCTTTTTTTTTTTTTTCAAACCAAGATTTAGAGGATGTAGGTTGTGTCTTTAGTTTGCTCAAAATTTTTTTTGACTGAAATACAGCTTAGTTACTAAGCCTTATAAATTATAGTGGAATTCTATGCTATCAGTATTGTAATTTATGATTTTTTGGTTATGACAAAAACATTGCTTAACAAACCTTAAGACTTAATAAAAAAAATTATATTTTGTGTATTAATGCATTGTAATGTTTACTGATAATCTTCCAAATTTCGTTAACATACTATTACTAATTTAAAAGTTATAGCACAAAACTATAACAAGCACAAAATGGTAATAAGGTCTGTCTCAGGGACCGAGCCCATGCTGAAAAGAGTTGAATGGTACAGGAATAAGATTTTGTAATTTTGCATTCTCAAATTATTATGGGTAATATTTTAGTGATACCTTACAAGCATATATGAAATGGTCAGGGGAAAGCCTGGTAAAAATCAGGGAATTTAATTTCTCCAAAATGGTTATTCTTCAGACTGCTCTTAAACACAATGGCTATTCTCAACACATTTGAGAAAAAGTATCTTGGAAATTCCTATGATACAATTGCACATGTCAACAAAATCATCCACTGATCCAAAGCACAGTGTATTATTTTTGTACATGATTTGAAACTGTGCATATCAAGTATTTGTTAACAATACTAAAACATCCACTGTCTATATGTGCCCTACATAATTCTGTATGCCTTTTCTTAGTAAACACAACTTTATAACCATAAGCACACTTACACCTATTATAAATTGACATCTCTCTCAAGTTGATCTGAAATTATTTTTCAAACTTTCCTTCCAGTTAAAAGTTCATTTTTCTAACAAAGACAAATTACCAACCTCTCATTGACCATGACTCGTATATCTATACACTTGTGGACACTACTAGGCATTCCGAGTTAACAAAACCAAAACTTATCTTAAATTAAGGGCTTAAAAACATGTGGGATGAACTGTAAAAACTGTAACATTGCTAATTAATCCTTGCTTCTTCATTATACATCAATGTAGCAAAAGTACAGGACATGCAACCTCTCTCTCAGATTTTACAATTTTAACAAAAGCTAAATCACAAACAGAACTCTTGATAAAAGAAACTGTATATATATATCAGACAACACTAACCTCTACTGAACAGAACCTATTCTTCTTTCAGATTATATTTATTTTGTTGTGGTAATTTTCTATACCTTTGTTGTATATATCAGTTATATGTGCTATAAAATGCTTAGTTGTTTTTTTTATATACTTATCTTAATCTGTTTTTAATGAATGACAGCTTTACTAGTTTCTATAATTCTCTGCTTTTGTTCATATTAGTATTGTTGTTAAGCATATAATAAGAGTAAGAAATATATGAGTGTTAAAAAAAAAGCAAAATGGTAGACCAATGTTCACAAAATATGAATAGTAAGAAGATTAAACTATCAGCATTTAGTCTGACAAGCTGAATTTTAGATTTTAAAGTCAATATTCTAATTTTTATACAGCATCAGCTTGGCAAGTTGATAAAGAAAAGTTCTTTTTGTCAACAAGACAACAATTGCAATGTAAACAGATATACAAGGAAACCTAGTTGTCCTGTCTGCTTATTGTACTATTTTTTGGAGAGAGGATTAAAACCTGCAAGTATGTATTTTTATTTATTTGATGTTGTTTACTAATTTAGGTTCTCTGGGATATATTAATTTCCTTCTGTTAACTGTTTTTTATAGCCTGTTTATTGTTGTTATAAACATGTCCTTTAGTTCTCCAAATTATTTGAGTTATTGTGGTAGTATTCTTGCAGAATTAAAATTTTTCATATGAGCTAAAATTTCTAGATTAATGTCAGAAGAAAATGAAAAATTTGTAAGAAAGTAAAGAAAAATTGCAGCTTTACTGGAATCTAAACTTTAACAATATAATACCTTTGGACTTATAAAAAATAACAAAGGCTAATTCAGTTTTACTCGTAGATAACTATACTTATACTAAATCCTTATAGTTAATCTGTTATTTTCTCTACCTTATCTCAAAACGGGATTGGTCAATTCAACTGACCTCGTAACCACCAAAAGAAAAATCAAAATAAACCTAAATTCCCCTTCTTTTTTTTCTAGAATGACTTCAAATTGTAACACGAAACTACATTCGTTTATCCTAAGTAGCTCTAAGTTTGTAACATTATACATATATTTATAATTAAATTTTATTATTTTATTGCCCTTTTTATTCCCCTTTGAACCGTGTCTAACTACTATCCGAGCCATTATAAGTTGTAAGTAACTTGGGGAACGTGCAGCTCACGTTACACTATCAAATTACGTTACCCACT